TTATTTTGTGGCAGAAATTAAATATAAGGAGACTGTGAGAAGTGAACAAATCGAAGTAGCGTTACTGAACAGAAGGAAATGAGCGAGTTCATCTGATTAGTTTACCATTTTCCCATAACCAATGGATGTCTCAAAACCTATTAGCAGAATTACACAAGTGGGATAGCTTCTAAAAAAAAGAACCAAAAGTAAGCCGTTTAATACTTAAGTTGATTGCCTGTTACAAAAAAATTATGTTACGCTGTAAACCCGGCAATTAAAAGCTGCAAAATGTTTGCTTCTCAAATAAAGCAGCAGGTACTAATGCTACACTGAAATTGGAAATTGTAAACTGCTTTCTAAACAGGAATTCTCAACACAAAGTATCCAGAATTATAATCAACAACTCCCTTATTGACATAGCGGACACTTTCTGCTACCTACTTTTTAGTGTTGACGCACCCTCTCCCACTTAGACGTCTCCATAATTCTTTCTTTCTCTATCCCACCGCTCATGAAGAAATACATTGTCATTAAACACCTCGAATCCACCGGTTCAGAAATTGATGAAGTCCTGCTTCGCTGATATCAAATTAATTTTGCACCTAATTTCTGATGTTCTGTGTTTCATGTTGAATTCAATATTTTTAATGAGCCTGTCTGGCATATTTCTTAATGAGCTACAATAATCGTAGTTCTTAAAAAAGGCGATAGCACAATGATTAATAATTACCGACCCATTTGCATTCTGCCCCTTTTTTTTTGTAAGGTTCTCGAGGAGTTAATTGGAGTACGCCTATCAGATTACCTTGATAAATTTAATATTTTGTCCTCTTGTCAGTTCGGCATTTGCAATAGTTTTTTTTTTACTGATCTGGCACTCATGCATCTAACCGATCGACGAAAATAAATGATAGATCAATGAATATTGATCGACGGAAATAAATAATGGACAAAGGTTTACTTGCAGGATCAATATTCATTGATCTAACAAAAGCATTCCACAGTTTAAATGATAGTATTCTTTTTATTGAACTTAAAGCGATTGGTGTGTGTGGTCCTGCTTTAGTGCTACTAAAAAGCTACCTACATAACCGAGTTCAACTTGTGTTAATTTCTGATGTATACTCTAAAGAATTATCTACTAACATTTGCGTATATTCTAAAGAATTATCTATTATCATCGGTGTCCCTCAACGACCCATTTTGTGAGCACTGCTATTTTTTTTTATCTGTATTAATGATCTTCCTGACTGTCTGTCCTCCACTAATTCCATTTTTTCTATTCCGATGACACTACCTTATTTTACTTCTGACCAAAGCATTTCACTTCTCGTTGAAAGCTAAGCACTAACTTGAAAATTGTTTCAAGTTGGTGCAGTGCTAACTTGTGAACTATTAACGCAATCAAGACTAAACTTGTAGTATATTCATCACATCAAAAATATTCAGCATGCTTTCCTTCTTTGACTTTCAGCTTGCACTCTATGTATCAAGGGGTATAGTAAAAAAAGTGTAAATTTTTATCGACAGAATCTGCGATGGTCGAGTGCCACGTCTGGGACACTTGGCATGGATTGACCCATATATATACATCGACTGGATAATATACACTAATATACACCGATTATTTTCGCATTTTATTCATGGAGATACGTTCACGGGTGTTCAGACGTGTTGTAGTCAAAAGTGGCCTCTATTTTTTTAGTTGGATGCTTCTATGGTATTAACGAGGAGTGGTGACGTAACAATGTACAGACTTTTCCCACAGTGCTTCATACACCTGCAAGGAGTTCTGGGATTGCTTGAAAATTATCTGTTGCGGCATTAAGACCATACCATCGCCTGCATACAGCTGTACAAAAATCTAATTCGCATATGCATCCAAGCTGACATAAAACAGCTTTGAATGTCATTGGTGCATGTGCACCAGCTAGTAGCGGAGTTTGCAGGTATAAAACCAGAAGCTGCCTGAGGGAGCCCGCAATCATGAATGGCACTGAAATGTCGGGCCCCGTTACATTACATTTTAGTTTATTATCACTCCTATCTAACCTAACCGTCGAATCTTTGGGTGCTGTCTTCAGGTTCTTTAAATTTCCCTGTTTGCTTCACAAGATGTGTTGGGCGCTCATATTAACAAGAATGGGGACATTTATACAGTGCGTCTGAATGCTGTGCGCCGAACTTCGCGAATTCGAGCTGGAATAATGTCAGATGAACATAAAAGCGTATATTTTGTGCCCTAATGGTACATGCATAATTGCACTGCTTTTCATTCTTACAGTACCGGGAATCATACCTTTCCATTACTGTTTTACAATACACAGTGTTCCGCATCTCTAACATGCCTGGATAAAGCTAACCTGTCATGCCTTCAAAAAAAAAAAAAAAAAACACACGAACATATCTATCCACAAAGTACAAAAGTGAATAGTGATGTCTGCAGCTGTGCACCACTCAGCCACACCCAGCAGCCGAGTGGCCGCGCCACCGCTCAGGATCGATACATTCTGCAACACTTTCAGGTGCTAAACATTCAATTACTTGTTGCGATGCATGTCTCTATCAACTCATGACACCCGTTAACGATTTTGCATTTGTGAAGGCAATTACAGCACAAAGAGCCTTTACTCAAAAGCAAAATGCTGGGAAGCCGCGAGCTTGCAGTGTGTACACTGCGGAGTTGGCCAAGTAATATAGACGACTGCAGCGGACGAGGCACTTGTCTCGACTCTGAACGAAGCGGAGGCGAACGAGTGCATCGAGGCACTCTAACAGTCGCTAAGGGCGCCCTTTTGTCGCTAATCTCGGAAGCTGCCATGTAGAAAGACTGAAAGCTGATAAGAAGGAGTCTGATAATAAAGGTAGTAAAAGTAAGAAATGATAATAAAGGGACTGATAATAACAAGGGCGAACAATGCATTAGCGCGCCTTCTGTACCCCTACATGATAGCGAGGTTAGGTTCTTAACATTTATGATGCTGGAGAGTACACGTGCGATGTATCAAGGTTCTTTCATTGTACAAAACGTCAGCTTATCTGCCTTTGCTTGCCTTAGTGTGGTCACATGGGTATGAAGGTCGAAGTGTTCTTTTTTTTCATGTTTTTTCTAATGTAAAATTCAGTTGCGAGTCAGCTGCGGTGTGTCTCTTGTTCTGTTATGTCCCCATAGTCGTGCACTTTGTTAAAATATATTCAAGCTGCCATGTGGTATGTTGCTAGGTTCAGACAAAAGATGGTGGCATAAGATTTGGCGGATAATCTAAGCTAATCCGGAAGTCTGAACAGGTTGCATTGGTTTCGCGGTGGCGGGTGGCGTGTGCAATAATCTTCCCTCTCACCAAACCTTGGGAGGGAGGTAGTGCCGTGACAGACGTACGGATGATGATCCATTGATGAGTTACGCGAGAATCTGGGGCAAAGGGCCTCTGGGCACTGCATCTCTTTCCTATTTGACGACAGTGTGTTATTAGTCAGGTGTTTGATAGCCCTGACATCGGTCAGAATGAGTGCAAATAGGAGTTCCCACAAGTTTAAGTTTAAGCGAGCTGTGATCGTGTTCGTCGAGGACAATAGAAATTATAGTGCTGCTGCTGGATTCAGTGTGGACTGACAGGTGGACTGACAGGAAAGTGAACAGGTGTTAGATGGAGGATGCAGCAGAACCACATTCGTAAAGGTGCCGTGACACCAGGAAATTCACGGGACCGCGCAAGGGCCAACACTCCGAACTCGAAGAGGAAGTCTGCGAGTTTGCTCGTAGCGAAAGAAACGGGGGCTTCGCTGTTGCTACCGATGCCATCCAGATTAAGCTGATGCAGATCGCGAGGAGGATGGTTGTCGGAGCAGTGTTCCATGCGAGCTGTGGCTGGGAGGACCGCATAATGCGGAGGAATGGATTTCTTTTGAGACGCCGGACCACTGACCTGCTACACGAGGGGAGTCTTGACTGTCTGAACCTGATACAGTGAAAGCTGGTATGAGATCACACCGCGGTTAGCTGTGCGCTCTGTTGTTGTCTGCCTTCGCCAATGTTCGCAATCACTATCGCACAAAATAAGAAAAATTGAATCATCAAGGACACGATGGGATTCCGACCCCTGTCCCCTGCGTGCCAGCTCAACATTTTACCATTGAGCCATGCTGGTGCGTGGAACCCCTTTGCAAACTTGCCTTAGACAGGCTTGATTTCGGGAAAGGAATCGCACTAATATGAGTAATAAAGCATTTTGGAACCGCAAAGGAATAACCAGGTGTCATATAATGCGCGTTGTGCAACGAGTAGGGTCGTAGAACGCTCCAACTCTAGAAAAGCTTGATCTTGTTCACCTCTAACTGTGGTGCATACACACTGGGGGGGGGGGGGGGGAATTACAATATTTTCGAAGATTGACGAAGGACGATATAACGAATGCCAGCCTGCTGCACAAGAATTGTGAATATTTATGGTGTAGTGGGTACCGAGCAAGTGTGCTTGCAGCAGATACCCAAAGAGTCTTAAAAACTGGCTCTGAAAGGCCACTCTTCTATCTTTCGCTGTGACAGTGCTGTGCATTCTGCAGCAGGCCTGGCATTTTGTTTTTTTTTATTGTTTTTGAATTAGAATGTGATTCCACACGTCAACCTTTTTGATATGTTGTCACAAAAGGGGATTGGCTGTATGGTCATTGTTCGAATCTAAGCACCCTTCCTCCCACTGTTAATATCGCGATCTTGGGGAAAAAAATGGGTGCTTAGACTTGAGTAAATGCAGTATCAGGCCAAAAAATATACTATGCGAAATCATATCAACAAGATTCCACTGTACTGTGTTTTCAAAACCTTCTGGTAGGATTGGGATAGAAATGATGCACCAGGGACTCGTTGTCCTCCCACAAAGCCAAACTGGCCAATCTCTGTGGTACATTTAGACTATTCAGTAGCTGCAAAACTGCCTTGTTTTTAAACTTCAGAAATTTTCATTGCAAAGCTGGCTGGGAAATGTGCACTAAAAAGGTCGACACTTTCCTCGTTCACAGTAGCGACTATGAAGACTCCTGGAACCAAGTGCACAGTCCTACCCTGCAGAACTGCCTACAGCAGACTGTGAAAGCCAAGGTGGGGCTCAGTCATTCTTGCATGCATGTGCTACTCATGGGAAAAAAAATTTCTCCGGAAAGTGTGGGAAACTTGCTGTATGTGCGTGCCTGACAAAGAAAGCACATTTTGTTCTGTCTCATTTACAATGCTCTCTCCTAACTGTTTCTTTCTATATATTATAACTTCATCAGCTTAGCAGACACTGTTCACTATCATGATCGCTTGCTCCTACTGAGCTGTCACTCACTCGAGGACATGAAACCATCTATTGTTTTTGTCTGGTGTTTCATTAAAGTATTCATTTTTTGTACTGATAGATGGCCTGGCAGTGGGCAAACCTTGAGGTCCACTCGACTCCATGCTGGGAATAGGACCTCCATCCAAGTTCTTAGAAGCGCAACACTTCAGTTACTACAGGCAACCACAACGGTCATGCATTCATACCTAGGCAACAAATGTGCTAGTGTGAAATGGCAAGTCACCTTGATAAAAATACCAAACTGCCATGTCGAAATGTTTGATAGCCCACAAGCCCCTGATTGAGAAAGCATCAATCATCAAAAAATTGCACATACAATACACATGCGGACGAGTGCCTTCGAGGACTGCACTTCTGTACAATCACTGGCACTGGGCTTTTCCCGCATGATTCCACGACCAAATCTGAGTATCAAAAAGTTCTTAAAAAATTTTATGGTCTATGAAAGTATGTTGAAGAGCAAGATTAAGTGGAAGCTATAATGTATCAGTTGCAGCTTTTATATATGTCAAGAATTAAATAAGAATGTCCATTTGTTAGATTGCCATCGGTCATACCATGCTGAATGTGCCGGTTCTAGTCTGATGTCTTAGATTGTTTATGTGTGTGCATGCATACGTAATGAATAGTGTATCCATGCATAATAACGTTTGCACATTGCTTCACCAAATTATATTTTAAACATCACGGCATATCCCCGAAGTGAATGATGATGAGTGGGTGAAGCAGCGGGATTGTGGTGTTGCCACAAATGACCCATGACATGGACCACTCATGCGTGCAAATGAGCGACAAAGCATTGTACAGATACATACATTGTTTATTGGTCATAAATAGTATGTTGTGTTGAGTTCTAAATTTCGTTTTGCCTTCATTATTACTGCTTTGTGGTATCGGATCTAGCCTACAGTTGGCAAAGACGAGCCCTAGTGATTGTTTGTTGTTACCAGTCATAGACATTACATATCCATATCGAGACATCATATACTGCACAAGCCAGTTGTCCGTCATCATCATCGTGATCAGCGTCGTCATCGTCATGGCATATAGTGGGTACCTTTCATGTACTGTGTCGCGATGGCAGAAAGAGAATAAGTGGTCTGGAACATGCTTGTTCATCATCATCATTGACAGCATCATCAGTGGTTGGCTACGGCCCGCCGAGAGACTGGCCCTTAGCAAGAGGAGCTTCGCCCCTGAAACATTTCTGGGTACAGAAATTTTACTGTGATGGGACCGAGGAGCACGGACAGGCTGACAACCTGGCGGCGGAGAACTCTTGTGAGGCTTCTTTCTCACCAACCCTAATCACACCTGGTGCGCTCTTTATATTCCCTGGTCCGTGCACGCGCTTCTCGTCAAATGCGGACTGCGTGTCGCAGCGATGCCAACGTGCATTCTCTGCAGCGCACATGGACACCTCCTGTGTTCCTGCGAAACGCAAACCGCGATAGGACGGTACTGGTATGAGTATCCCTTGCAGGCCGTGTACTTTACTTTCATGGCCGGTTATTACAACTCCCACATTACTGTACTTTATTTCCCTCTCATGTAATTGGTGTGGGTGTTCTGTAATAAAATAAAGAACAACCTGCATTTCAGTAATACAGTAATTAAAAATAGGTGTGCACTTGCATTGAAAATTTCCTGCACAAACTCATTGTCTCTTTGTTAGATAGCGTCTACATTCGTTTCCTCTTCTTTCTCTATACTAGCACAGTCCATTGCGGATTGAATATTTTTCAAACGCAGAATTTTTCACTTAATAATTTGTCTGTGCCGAAATCGTCCAAATGCGAGAAAAAATGTTTGGAAAGCTCCCGACGCCACACTGATGTAGTGATGTGACATTGCTAAGGCAAAATCACGTTCCATAAGCAGTTTATTTTTAGCAGCGAAGCTCCTTAGGCCCTCTCGGTGTCCAACTTTTGGCGTTGAAGCTCGCCGTCATCTCTAGTCGAAGCACAGGTGCGAAACATCTGTGCACAGCACCGTCTAATGAACGTTCATAGCGCACATATGGTTTAAAAATAGAATGTACAAGGGCACGGCACTAAGGTGGCTAGCATATCAGTACGCGCTCGCAACCTGCTCTTGAAAACAAGTGCATCGCTCAACGTTGTGCGTAAATTTGTACGTAAAGGGCGCCGACAGGAATCTCTGATAAAGGTGCACGTTCTCCGCACTCCCAACAACGCCATGGAAGAGAGCTCACGCAAGGCGCTGCTCGCAAGAGCAAAGCAGAAACGTCGCAAATACAACCTCGACTTACGAGCTTGAGAAGCAGCAGCACAACGACCATGCCGTGAAGCAGACCCAGAGTTCAAATCGTGAGAAGCCTTGGCTCAACAGCAGCGCTGACGAGATCCGGAGGCAAAGACTCGAGCAATCGCGGCTCGACTACGACGTCAACAAGATCTTGAGGTGAGGGAGCTGCTGCACAACGTCTACGCCGCCAGGATCCGGAGGTGAGAGCTTCGAAAGTGGCAGCGAGACATCAACGCCGCCACTCAGACCCCAACCTGCAAGCTAGAGAACTGGCAGCAAGGTGGGAACGCCACGACTCTGATCCATGTGTAAGGAACGGGAGGCGGCTGCGCAGCGGGACGTTGACAGCAGGCCGATGCCGAGGGGAAGCACGTGAAGCAGCTGGGAGACACCAGCGTCAGCGGGCCGAAGCTGATGCGAAAGCGGGGGAAGCAGTTGCGAGACCGTGAGCGGGCAGACACCGAGGCGAAACGACGAGAAGACGCTGCCAAGCGTCGCCATCAGCTCTTTCCGGCAACGAGTGGTGCCGATGCGTGGTTCAAGAGTGACTTCCTAGAAAGATCCTTTGGCCACAGCTGCAAGGTGAAAGGCGCAAGGGGAATGGGTGCACCTTTCATTTTCGTAAACATTCTTTATATCCTTTATCATTTTCGTGAATGGAGCTTGGCTCCATCCAGGCCGTGGCTAAGAATTTTGGCGGGGTGGGGGGGGGGGCGTAAGGGGGCACCTTTTGAAGGCCTTGAAAGACACTTATCTTTTATTCATTTCGTCGATAAAACACACACCTCAATCCGAATTCAAAGAGGGCCCGAGCACCTGGCTCCTCTTCCCGCGTGGCTACTGGCCTGGCTCCATCATCACTATCGACTTCGTGTATCTCCAGCCATTTTTCAGAAGTGAAGCTGTCTGACATGGTGGTTCAGTGGCTATGGTGCTCAGCGGCTGAACCAAAAGTCGCGGGTTCAATCCTGGCCGCAGCAGTCACATTCTGGCGGAGGCGAAGTGGCAGAGGCTGGTGTACTGTGCGATGTCATTGCACGTTGAACACCACATGGTAGAAATTTTTGGAGCCTTCCACTACGGCCTCTCTCATAATGATATGGCCGAGCGCACCAGACCCAGGCCTTCTCCTCCACCCCCCCTACCGCCTTCATGAATCGCTTGCTCTCCGAATCGGACGTGACGACCAACACAAGAAGTAGTGGTCCTGGAGTTTTAGCTTGTATCATGCCTCATGCATTCACAAATTACACACGGAGTACGGAGAAAGCAAGCACGAAAAAACGTGCAAGCGTGCGCTGCAAGTGGTTACTCCTCACTTGTCTCAGCTGACTGCAACATGTGCGTCTCCTCCGCGAACAGCTTTGGCAACACACCATTGAGAGCAACGATTGGCTGCCATATGTAATCCTGCGTGACAGAGCAAGTAAAGCAAAATGGAACAGCAGTGCTGAGAGTTCACGTACCAGCCACGAGTGCCGGCTCGCGAGCGTAGTTGCGAAACTGAACTGGCTTTAAAAACATTGCCCCACTTAACGGCCTTCAAAGAAAAAGCAGCTGTGAGATTCAGTGCGTAGTCGTCTGTGTCCCATTTTTAAGGAGCCTCGCTCATTGGTTGTAATCGCACTTGGAACTGCCAGTTTAATTTCTCCACTTGTTAGTAAGACATCAGTCGTAGCCTCTGTGTTGCTTTGGGGTGCCAGTCCCCATAGACCAGCCAAATAGTTGCTAAACCCTCTGCTATATATTTCAGAGTTATGTTTCTCAAAAGCATGCTATCCATGCTAACTGAAGATGCATTGCTGCATAGTGTCCCTTTAGTTGCCCCCCCCCCCTTCCCTGTTTACACAACAACGTTAAAGAGTTCGTTTCGCCGAAATCACGTCATCGTTAGTTGTGAGCGAAAACTCACCTTATGCGTGACCAAAAACTCGAGAACAATGCAAATAAAGTACTAAATGATAAAAAAATTCTGGGTCAGAATGGGGACCGAACCAGGGTCATCTGTTTGTGAGAACAGGGAATATAACTTCCTCTGCTTGGAAATTCAGTGAAAGTAACTTTTATGCTTTACAAACACACTTGTCCTGTGCACATGCTTCGCAATGCAACATGAAATATTGCAGTAATAATGCATGGTACAAGCATTCATTGCCAATGCGCGTCGGAAAATGTGATTATCATAATGGCTTTGTAGTTTAAAGCCGGTCACCCAGTACAAAAGGCATACACACTTCTGCGTCTATTCTTTTAAAAGACTCATCATGTGTGCATAGAAAGTTGAAAAGGTTTCATGCCCTACGTGTTTCAAGTACGCACTAGGAACAGAATATCGCTATTGCGTTCAGCTCCTAAAGGTGAGGCTTTAGGGTCCCCTCATTTTTTTTTTTTTTTTCAGGTATGAAGAAACAGACTGCTTGAAAGAGCTACATTTTTTAAAATGTCACGATTCGCATACTTTAGGTAGCCCACTCATCTCTTATCTCTTAAAAAAAAATTGTTACAGGTGGACTGCTGCTTGCAGACGGATGGAACCGGAAAGGTGATTTTTTGCACCTTTTTCTTTTCTTTTTTTAAAGGAAGGATTCTCAAGGAGTACCGCAGTGGTTCTTAAGCTACAGCACGCTTGATAGAGAATGTAAAAAGAAAATTGTGCGAGTTGCAACTTAGATTTTGCTTTAAAATGTAGTTGTTTATGAGGTGCCTTGTACAAATACTGTCACAAATACCATAACGGGGGCTTGTAACTGTACAGTAGGAAGTCGGGCTGGTCCAATCACTGGAAATACGACCTCCTTGTATTCTTCACGAGCTCATCCTTATTATCAGCAGTGGCACATGCAAGCCTGCCAGTAACTATAGCAACAATACTACTCCATCTTATATTACTGGCAATGTAATTTATTTAAAGGGCCAGTCAACAAGCTCGAACTATTTTTTTACACCTCCTAAAGTAGCTCAGCAAGTCGCTGAGTAGGCTGCCGCAGTCACGTAATCCAAATACATTACTATAGCACTGCGTGCCGCGTGAGGCGTCCATTTTGAAAAACTATTTCTGCGCTCCTTTCCTATGCCTGACCAGTCCTCCTTTCATGTGCGGTAAAGTCACCGATTGGCGACTTGACATAATACGCGGCGTGTCGATTGGTCTTAATGAGGTCTCAACAAACGGTAGTGAAGTCAATGTCCATTTCTGTTCTCACCTATCTCTACAAACTGTCCCTTGTTTCTTGGCATTGAGTTGATGCAGCTGCAAACAGTAAAACCGGGCATCGCTGCAAGCGGAAGTGCGTTATGACCGATCGAGCTCGCGGATGATGTCAATTTCTGACGTGTCACGCTGCAGAAGTGGGAAGAAATCATCACGATGGGCTATGCCTTCCCCTCCCCGGGAGGGAGATGGATGGCGAGGCCACACAAAGACTTGAAACCAGCTAAAATCAATATCCTAACCCCTGTAACTTTCTTAAATATAGCAGATATTCACAAAAGTCTTGCAGAAGCATGTTCACAAAGCAAAAGTGCACATATTTCTCTTTGTAACACTTTTTGGACCTTGGGGCTATTAACTGGACCTTTGAAAGCAGAACTTGCATATTAATTTTTCAGTGTTTATTTCTATTGTTGTGTTCCTATGTCACTTCACACTGGTTTCACTTTCAAGGGTAGCAATAAGCTTTGCACAACTGTGGGCAATGCCTTGGGGCTGCAGTGTTGCCCGCCTGAGAGCAGTAACTAAACGCAGCTAGTCACGACAGCTCCGAATTGTAGTTCAACTTGAAATGCACTTGTAGTTCGATTGAGGCTGGCAGAAAAACAAAGCTTTCATTGGTCTCCCCAAAGGTTATAACAGCCCAATCATGTGATTTCCCGGTTGTTTCTCTCTCGCTTGCTTGATTTTCAGATCTATGCTTATTTTTTTTTAGAAGAAAATATGTTCTTGCTGGAAAGTCAGGCATAAGAAGGGCACTCAAACCTCGATATAATGAACCCGAATACAACGAAATATCTTTTATAGTGAAGTTAATTAAAAACAGTCTTGCAATATATGTAGGGTTAGAGAAAAACCTTTATAATAAATTTTTAGATTTAACAAACATATTTTCATGTTAGATGCAACTTTGTTATAACGAGGTTTGAGTGTATATAAACATGTAGAGCACTGTCCTAGGTGAACAGCTCGCAGTTGCCCCTCCTACTTTTCTCATTGTCATATTGATTATAAATAGTGTCTTTTGTCTAGAGTTCTGTAACTGTGACTTTAACATAGCATTACTTGGTTGTTACTCCTTGATTATTTGAAGCCCTTAATATTTTAAATCTTGTTTGTAACAATTGTGCTTTTTTCCAGGTACATTGTCTTGTGCAGACTGAGGACACTGCAAAGGTAGTGTAAAATTTTATTTTTTTGCGATGCTTCAAAGTTCCCAGGGACGGGACTTTGCATGTGTGTTGGGCCCATAAACAAAAAGGGGGGGGGGGGCGAGTTAGGTTAGGTGGCATGACTTATCATATGGTCTACATGCGTTGATGTTGTGCAATGCTCTTAATATCTTCTTGAAACACAAGATGTTAGCAGTGAAGGCAACATAAGCAGGGGGGAATTTCACGCTTGGGCTGCGTGTTCAAGGAAGGACTGCTGATATCTGCTGAAATGTGCGCATGATAGGTTCACAGATTTTGGATTCACATGATGGGAGGAATGATATACTGGAGTGGTATGATTACCTCTGGCAGAGAATTCAAAAACCTGAAAAATAAAAATTGGCCCCGTAGCTGCATGTTACACTTCAAATGTTGCACTGCAAATGTCGTGTCCGGAGAGAGTGAACAAAATGTTTGATGTTCTGTGCAAGACAATTGGGGAATAGCATTCTGGAAGCGCTGCGTTAGAGTGCCTCGAACGTGCAGCCGAGGCAAACGAGCGCATCAAGTCACGTCACACGTGAGACACGAGCGCTATCTCGCAGTTATCTTGGAAAACAAAGTGCATGCGCCCTGCGTGCCCGTCTCTGAGGTGATAAGGTGTAGAACGCAAGGCGATGGGTAGGTGCTACCACCATGTCGTCTTACCAAAGCGTTGGAAACACTTGCCTTTTCGTGCAAGCGTTGCCTGGCCAGCGCAATATGATAAACGCTACGGTCCTTATAATTACATATGTATGCTTTTCCTAGTAAGACACACACATACAGGATATTGACGTGTTGTTATGGTGCCTCAAATATGCGTAATAATCGCTTTTTAATTGACAATCACACAAGTATGAACGCTGAACCTTGAGCAATATTCGTAGGGCGCTGCAGATGGGGTCGGCCGTTTAGAGTATTGTTTGGCCACTTTGGTGCCGTTTAGGGTACCGTTAATGGCGGCCAAACAGACAAATGTACAGACAGACAGACCAGTTTTTGCGTCCAAGGTCCCCAAGAAAGGCTATCGTATTTAAAAACAGTTGAAGTTTTTTGCGGCAGGATGTGAGTGAGGAAAGACACAACCATCATTTTAAAACTTCGGCGCTTGTGTTGTGGGAATTATAAGAAAGTATGTACCAAGCTGCCTGGATCTGAACTGATTCAGTAAAGTCAGTGCCACCCTTATTTCTTTTGATGCCAGCCAGATGCACCCAATCCAGACGTTCACCAACCTCTCCTTTAGGCCACTCTTGCTCTCGCCCATCGCATTGCCTTCGTGTGTGCTTTGCATTCATCGGAAAGAGAATCGTTTAGGTGGTGCTTCACAACGAAAACCAGACAAAGCAATTTTTTCGCTCAGTTGTGTACAGATCCATGGGGCAGTATCTTGCATCCCTCATGTTTACCATGTTGGCACTGCGGGGAACACAGTGTTCTGTGATAGCTCATCTTTGTACGTGGCGCTGTGCGGGCAATCAATGGAGACGTGTCATTGCTACGCTGCTGCATGCACTGCTCTTGAGGGGTGCCATACGAGTGCTGTGAGGTGGTTGCGGCGTTGCTTCAAGCTAGAAAGAAAAAGAATGAAGGAACATGCCTGTCAGACGCATAATATCAGAGAGGGAAAGTCTGTTTTTCGTATCTCCATGAGAAAGAGCTGGGACACGCATGTGACGCAAGCAGCTCTACGTTTTTACGTGCCGTCACCTGTTGACCACTTCCCGAACTAAAGCGAACGGACTCCCATTCAGGAGCGAGCGTTTTCACTGGCAGTGAAAAAGATAGAGGAGGCGTTAGTAAAGTTTATAATTCACTCAAACATTATTGTAAAGCAGTTTCATCTTACAGAAAAATGTTGGTTATACTGTATTGGAAAATTTGTTATAAAGGTTTATTTTTAATAGTATACTTATTGCAAAATTATTTTTTATTTACTTCTTTATAACTGGCATTTCGTTGTATCCAGGTTTGTTATTTCAAGGTTCGAGTATATTAGCTTGATAGTTGGTGTAAATGGTGACAGCATACTCTAATTTAGATTGGATCAGGTACCGTCTTTATATGACCTTAAGGAGGGATGGAGGGCACAATCGACTGAAAATGAGGTTTTTCATTTTTCACAGAACATTATTCTAGCATTATCGCCAAGTTCTTTCACCAAGGGGCGCTTTTTTATGTGCAGTGGAAAGCATTTAAGGATGACCTCAAACGCGCTTCATCCCGTCACTACACTGCGGTAACCTTTAAATGCCGATTTCTCAAAACACTGCTTCTGGTCAAAAAAGAAACATTTTCTCTGTAACCATTGCAGCCATCAAGTGCAAACTTGTGTGACTTATTTTTGGATAACATGCACCCTTACTGAATTTAGCAAAAGAATGATGTCACCAGAGCTGCATTTTCACGAAAGTTTTTCTTCAAGAAAAGTGTGCTAACATTCTAATCATCAACCATCTAAATTTCTAATTGTAGAATGTTTATGCATATATTTTGCATTTTGGTTCAGAAGGATACCTTGGGCACATGTAATGACCAGAAGAGATTTCACTATTTTACATGCGAAATCTTTCTTACAAATGTTCCTTTAAAAAAAATGAAAACAGTAAAATGATCTAAATTTGATTATTTTTAGAATGGCTTTGTATATTCTTGCCAAGTTCACAAAAGTTATAGTGAAATCTCTACTCAACGAACCTGCAAAATTTTGTGGGGTTCCTTTCAAAATGACAAAGCGATGGGCAGTAGCAGTTGCACACCTTTCTTTCGTACTCATCCCCCCTCAAGTGAACTGAAATGCAGGTCTGCTCCCATAACACGTACATCAGAAAACTAACACAAAAAAAACCATGAGCACTTTTATAAACTGAAATTGACGTGCCTCCTGGACTCGAGTGCATGTGCTCATTCATCATCTTGGAGCCATCTCTTTCCATGAATTTCGGTGCCTTGGCTCCAAAGTGGACCCTCGGCATTCTCGTCCTCAAAATCGAAGACGTGGACTTTTTGTGTGACCATTTGGTGGTTTGCCAGCAGAGATCGATCGCATTGTTGGTTCACATGTGCTGCAAGCTCCAGAAAACTGTTCCAGATCTTGGGGCTGCGCTTGAAGGTTTGGGTACCCTACACCCACTGCT